AACAGGCCAGTAATAGTTATTACTTAATATTGGTGATCTCCCAGCAGTTTCTTAAACATTGCATTTCCCATATGCTGTAAAAATCAGACATGCTTCTTTGTCAGCCTCTTAACTTACTAATCAGCAGCTTTGAGTCTTTAGCATAGTTTGTTCTTATTTTCTTTTATTACTTTTATTATAGCTGTGGGGATTGGTGAGACGTAGGAGGTTGTGGTCTGCTGGTCACTATGCTCTCTACCTAGCCCCTTCACAAGAGACTCAGAATTGTTTTTTCCTGTGGAGTTCTCAGCTAGGAGAGACGTAGTCTGAGGAAGTGAATATTGACAGTGATCCATCAGTAGAAAAGCTTGGAAATCATTTGTTAAAACACCTTAAACTATGATAATGGTTACTGATGACTCCATTAAGACTACACCTAAGGTGGGGTCCTGCAGAGTTCACTTTCAGCTTGGATCTCTAACACATTTGGGAAAAACTTAGTTGGTGGGAAAAAAATAAGTAATACCAAATGCTTTAGGAAAAAAAAATAAGTAATACCAAATGCTTTTAAAGATGGAATTAATTCAAAACCATCTTGAAATTAGCGTGCCTGAAGTCAGCAGTCTGGAATTCATTGCTTTACATAGATGCAGAGCAATGTGGTGTTGTAGGGGGGCATGAAAGTTGTATATGAATACAAAACTGGCAAGGGAGGGGTAATGGGAGAAGAGTATCTGAGTTCAATGTATGTTCATAGAATCATGAAGGAAAATACCTCTAAGATCAAGTCCAGCTGTCAACCCAACACTACCATGACCACCAGACCATGTCCTGATGTGCCTCATCTACACATTTTTTTGAACACCTCCAGGAATGGTGACTCCATCACTTCCCTGGGCAGCCTGTTCCAATGCCTCACCACTCTTTAGTCCTAATATCCAATCTAAACCTCCTCTGGAGCAACTCAAGACCGTTTTCTCTCATCCTGTCACTAGTAACTTGGAAGAAGAGACCAACACCCACCTCCCTACAACCTCCTTTCAGGTAGCTGTAGAGATCAATAAGGTCTTGCCTCAGCTTCCTCCAGACTAAACAATCCCAGTTCTCAGAAGCTCCTCATAAGACTTGTTCTCCAGACCCCTCACCAGCTTCATTGCCTTCCTCTGGACCCGCTCCAGCACCTCAATGTTTTTCTTGTACTGTGGCAGCCGAAACTGAACACAGTACTCAAGCTGTGTTCTCACCAGTGCTGAGTATAGGGGTGTGATCACTTCCCTACTCCTCTGGCCACACTGTTCCTGATACAGCCCAGGATGCCATTGGCCTTCTTGGCCACCTGGGCACACTGCTTGCTCATGTTCAGCTGGCTGTCAACCAAATATGCAGGTCATTTTCTGCTGGACACCCTCCCCTCCCAAAGCCTGTAGCGCTGATGGGGGTTTTTGTGAACTAAGGGCAGGACTCGGCACTTGGCCTTGTTGAACCTCATACAGCTGGCCTTGGCCCATTGATCCAGCCTGTTCGGATCCCTTTGCAGAGTCTTCCAATTTAGTGTCATCTACAAACTTACCGAGGGTGCGCTTGATCCCATCATCCAGATCATTGCTAAAGATATTAAAAAGCACTGACCCCTGGTGAACATCACTTGTGACCAGCCATCAACTGGATTTAACTCCATTCACCATCACCCTCTGGGCTTGGCCATCTAGCCAGCTTCTAACCCAGCAAAGAGGACACCTGTCTGAGCCATGAGCTGCCAGCTTCTCCAGCAGAATGTTGTGGGAGATGGTGTTGAAGGCTTTAGTGAAGTCCAATATTCATGGCCTTTCCCTCATTCACTAGACGGGTTACCCGGGCATAGGAGGAGATGAGGTTGGTTAAGCAGGACCTGCCTTTCATGAGCCCATGCTGGCTGGGCCTGATCCCTTGGTTATCCTACATGTGCCACGTGAGTGTACTCGAGATGAACCACTCCATAATCTTCCCTCGAATGGAGGTCAGGCTGACAGGCCTGTAGTTCCCTGGATCCTCCTTCAGGCATTTCATGTAGATGGGTGTCATGCTGGCAAAACTCTGGTCGTCTGGGACCTCCCCTGTGAGCTAGGAGTGCTGACAAATGTTGGAGAGTGGCTTGGCAGGCTTCTCTGCCAGCTCCCTCAGCACTCGAGCGGATCCTGTCTAGCATAGACTTGTCAATGTCTAGGTGGTGTAGCACATGGTTAACTACTTCCTGCTGGGTTGTGGGAGGGATTTATTTTTTTTGTGTTCCATCTCAGGGAGCTGAATACCCTGAGGGTAACTGGTCTGACTATTAAAGACTAAGGCAAAGAAGGCATTAAGTACCTCACCCCCTTCCTCATCCTTGGTGGCAGTGTTCCCCTCCTTCCTTCCCCCCTCCCCTCTGCATCCAACAAAGGGTGGAGGTTTTCCTTGGCACTGTCTTTTGTTTTTAATGTATTTGTAAAAATCTTTATGTTGCACCAAAAATAAGAACTGAATTTTTTGGGGAGGGAAAGAAGTTGGGATGTGTTAACAGGAATGTGGTTTATAAGATATAAATGTTCTGAGTAATTAAACTTCGTTGAGGTCTCCATTGAAGGATTGCCTTGTCCAGGCATCCTGCTTCAAGAAATTAACAAATTGGAGACCTTGAGAGAGGTAACAAGAACTGTCAGTTTTAGAAGGAGTACCTACCCAAAAAGGTTCAAGGTGCTAAGTAATGCATGCCATTTGGAAAGAAAAGCGGGGAGAGGGGGATGGTGGTATTGAAGTATCTGAGAAGGCTCTTTTAAAGGAGAATATTCTGAGAGTAGTTGGAAAATAAAATGGCTTAACGTTTAACAGAGTGTGTTGCAGTTTAAGTCAGCAATTTGTCAACTAGAAGCCACAATTTTAAAGTGTTCAGACAACATGAATCAAGTTGCAAGCTTGAGAGTAATACAAATTCCTACACCACTATTTTCCTAGTGTCATAAATTGTTCTATTTGAATTTTTTATCCAAATTATTGTACAATTTGAGTATTCTTTTAATCATGAACCAAGTTAATAAAATATTAGAGGCTGCCATTTTTCTCAGGAGATAGAGAATGTAATGATATTCATTATGTGTATTGGTCAGAAGAGTGGTTTAAAGTTGGGTTAGCAATTTTACTTTAGCTTTACCAGTGGAAGGGGATAGATATCAAAATATTTAGTTAGTAGGAAGTGCAATTGTGGAGAAAAGCAATATGCTGTTTCATATAAGACAGTGGTATGATTTTGGTATTAAGTAGGAAATACTTAACAAATGCAGGATTTTGATAATACTTCAAGGCTGAACTTTATTGCTTGTGGCTGGTTTGCTGCTTTGTCCAGTCTTGGTGAATGATTCACAGTTAGTGTATGTGTTTGCAGATGCCTTTAATATATATATTTTTTTTTTTCCCCAACAGTTGACTCAGACTTCATAATATGTCTTTAGTTTTAGAGCTTGAAATATAAAATCATTTTGGGAATGTATCTTTCCTATGAACAGTTTAACTGTTGTGAAAAAAAATACTACTTGCTGAAGAACTTGAATTTTCCCTTGTTTGTTATTTCTACTCACTCCTAAATAATTTCTGGTCTTTGCAATTTTATAAGGATTTCAGGTATGTTAAGTTGTAGTACTGAAACCCAGTTTTAATTAGCTGAGGTAATGAAAGCAAACAACTTCTTTATAATTCCATTGAGCAGGTTTGTATACCAGGGTTTAAAATCTCCATACTTCTGTCCTGACTGCAGAGTTTCTGTTTTCCTAATATCTTCTTTGAATTGAATCTTCAGTCTAAAATTTCTAGGTTTAGGTATTCTGTGAGCCTGGTGCTTCATCTTTGCACTGTGGTTGTCACAGAGTACTGCTATATGTTCATAATGATAACCTCACATAGTATTTTTTGTGGGGGTGTTTTTTTTCTTTGATTTTTTTTAATGTGTCATAATTTTCAGAATGTATGATTGAAAATATTGAGGGGAAAATAAATAGAAAATAACTAGGAAGTAATGTTATGTATGGCTAAATGATGGTATTACTGTGTTAATTATAGACAGGGGGTTGTCTGCTGATACTGAAGTTAACCAACTAAATGTGAAATAGTTGCTCTATTTGTATGTACAACTGAGCGAAGGATACAACATACAAAAAATTACATATATATGTGTACTGTATATACACACATATATATTCAGAGTATATGTATATACTGCAAATAACAATGTTTTCTAGAAGTGTTGCCCATGAAATCTAAACTGAATATATGAAAAGCCTCAGGTATTTTTTTCACGTTTTTTTGTATGTGTGTGTGGCTTTTTTGTGGTTTGTTTTGGGTTTATTTGTTTGTTTCTGTGTTTTTCTGAAGGAAATGCTATGGCACAGAAAAGTTTCTGTAGATGTGGGAGGCCAGCTGTGAGTGAACTGACCAGATCAAACCTGCCAGAACAGCACAGAAGGGTGAAAAAATGTTTTCTCCAGGCTCCTTAGCTGTAGGCCTGGAGAAAAGGAATAATGAGCCATGGGGCTTTTCCTTTAAGGCCCTGTGCCATTATGGGTCTGGACCTATACCTGGCATCCAGTCAGTCCCACTGCATGGACATTGTGTGCGTGTCTGGCCACGCACCCAGAAGCTCTGTGCTTCCATGTGACACACATTGCTGGCCTACTAATGAGCATGTCTGGTCATGTTGCTGGTGAGGGAGGGTGGTTGATAGTTTCTGTGAGAGCTCATACAACTTAACAAGGAGGGAATTAAGACAACCTCTGCCCTAGACTAGACTACAGGACATTTGCCTATCTTCACCTAAAACCTGTGCCTCCCAAAGTAGGAGTCACATAGGTATCGAATGTATGAAAATAGTACTCTATCTTTAACCTCAGGTATTTAGTGCACTGTTCTAAACTGATAAACATTTGATGGTATTTTAGAGACAGAAATGTGTCTTGTTAAATTTTAAATTGTTTGTTGACTTTACTTTTATAGAAATAATATCTTTTTTTTTTTTCCAGTTTAACTTTGTTGGAAGAATCCTTGGGCCCAGAGGACTAACAGCTAAACAGCTTGAGGCAGAAACAGGATGCAAGATAATGGTTCGAGGGAAGGGCTCAATGAGGGACAAAAAGAAGGTAAGCTCTTGAAAGGTAGTATAGTTTTAGATATGTAGTTTTATTGCCTAACAGAGGGTAAGCTCTTGTCACTCTTATTTGTTGTGTTCTTACTGTGTGCTTTTTCATTATCTAGTGTTTTTTACACACCGAGTAAACAACACAGCTTACCCTAAAGTTGTTAAATGTGCATGCTCCATAATGATGCAATTGGGAGTCTAACTAGCAATTATAAAGTATATTTCAGTAATAACTAGCTTCTAATTGTGTCATGTTTCACAAGGTAGAAGTAAAAATTGAAGTTAAATGTGTTTTTCGAAGGAAGAGCTGTTAACCTTAACAGTTTTCTTAATGACTTTCATATATTGAAATACCAAAGTAGTGATTTGTGCAAGTAGTGTGGATGGGAAAAATGTTTTATTAATTTCTAACAGTGAATTCTGTCCAAGTGAACCAAGAAGCACTGTGTTTCTGGTTTGTTTTGTGTTCAGTTAGAATTGCAGTGTAATTAGGGCTCTTCCTTGCCCTGCCCTGTAATCTGCATGCTCTGCCTGTGCATTTATAGGGAAACTGCAGTTTTCAGGATAGAACCATGACGAATGTCAAGCTGTTCTGATGGTAACTCCTGGCAGGTTTATCTTCTAGCTGTTTCCCTTCCCCTCTGGTTACTATTGCTTAAGCTGTTCCAGTGTCTCCACTGCAGTTTTGAAATATGCACTTAAAACCACTTTTTCCTCTTTGTTCTCATATGCATTACTTGGTTTGGTTCTTTCTTTAGAATATCCCTGCTTTTCCTTATCTGACCAACCAAATAATGCATTCTATCAATACATATGTGGCACGTAACAATTAAAATCTAAAGCTAAGTGTCTACTCAGTAAAAAAAACTCAGACCTCCCAGAGCTTATGACCGTGCCGCTTTCAAACTTTATTTGATGCCTCTTGTTTTCTTAATGTGCTGTAATACTGTCGCCACCCTTTCTCTTTTTCTACCTATAGCTGCTTTGTATGGTTAGATTGCCAGCTCTTTGAGAAAAGATCTGTTTTAACTTACAGCTTTTGGTTGTCTAGGTTCTGTACAAGAGGGTGATGTTATCTTAAATATTTAATTTATGAAGGTTTCTTTTAAAAAAAGTTATAGTTTATAACTTGAAGTCCTTCTGCCACTTGGTTGGGGGGATATTTAACATATAAATAAGTCCTACTATTATGGGGTTTTAAACCCCTTAATAGAACTTGCAGAGTGGATAGTTTTCTACAGGATTTTGGAAAAGATTTCCTATAACTGGGACATTGTAGGAGATACTAAAATTTCTGAGTAAAAAGTGGAAGTATTGCCTCGTTTAGAGAGTTTTCAAAGTTTTTATAAGAGATCTTAGATCTACTCTTGAAAGCTACTTATTAGGTGGTAGATTAATTAGACATTAAGTCTTCTGACTGCATGTATAACAAAGTAAACCTTACTGTGTGGTATATACTGAATTCTAGTTTGCAACAAATGAATTAGCAAACTATCATTTTGAATAGAAGTACTTATACCTTAAAAAAGTGAGTACTTGGAAGTTCTCTAAGCTGAATGCTTTTTCCTGTTTAAACAGTTTTTAGAAGATGTTGTGTTTTTACTAGTAATGCAATTCTTCACTTATGAGCAAAATTTTAGTGCTGCTCCCACTGTGTTTTAGGAATAGTCATTCTAGGTGGAAGTAGTTCATCAGGGGATAAGTTGTGTAATTTTTTTTCTGAATAAAAATGTTGTGGTTCATTTATGTTCATAGATACCATAAGCTAAAACATTTTAGTTTCTAGTCTTCAGAAAGATAATAAGCGTAGATTGAGGCCCCAAGCTTAATGGTCCAAAAATATCTTCAGTGTTAGTAATGAATGTATATTTAAGATGATCATTAACAATGATGCTTTGATACATCTTTAAAAGTTTTTCAGATTGACTTTTCGGTGTGGAAAAGCACACTTAAGTTGTGCTAGCAGTATCTATACTTGCTAACAGGTACATTAGTCTAAATAGAGAAAAAGAAGGAAAAAAACCAAAAAACCTGCATTTGAGGCCTTAATTTTTCTTCTGAAGACACCCATTCCCCTGTGTTTTGTTCACACATCCTTTTGTAGAAAGCACTTGGAGTAAAGTTTACTTCAGATTTCTGAAATTGCTGTGCTCCTTGGCCCACACATCATATCCCCCCTCAATCTCTTCCCTGTCCTTCTTGTCCATGCTAGCCCAAAGAGAATCCCAATGGCACAATGAATTCCACGTCAGGTATTGTAGCCATTTGCCAGGGTGTGACTAACAGTGCGTTTGTTAGAGCTGTACAGCCTGCATTCTTTGAATGCTCTTTATATTAGTACCACTGAGGATATATCCAGCCACTGTGAAGACGTTCTGTTTCTATGCTGTCTGTAGGGCAGGCACCACCAGCTGGTGTGGGGACATACACATGCACCATGTCCTTCATTCCTGTCAGCTGCCAGCTAGGATAAGCATGTTCTCTGCAGTGTTGTTGGTCACCGCCACGTGTTCTGACCTACACGTGTTCAACGCTCATGTAGGTCTTGGAGTTTGTGAAATGTCTGTTACAGAATCACAGGTTGGTGGAGTTTAGAAGGGGACTTCAGAACCTGTCTTCTCCTGTGGTGAGTCATCTCTCTAGGTAGCTTGGGCAGGTTTTACTGTCTGGGCAAGTGGTATTATTTTTGGACTGATTTCCACTATTCTCCCCATTTTTTTTTTTTTTTCTTTTGGTACCTGTTCAAAGGAGAATAGGCAATGTGAGTTGCTGGAGTTGTGTGTGAGCAAAAGCTTAGAGTTGCTACAACCTGGGTGTGAGTCACCAGGGTTTTTGTTGTGGCTTTTGTTGTTGGTGTTGTGTTTTTTATTTTTGCTCGGTTGGTTTTGGTGTGGGATTTTTTTAAAGTTTAGTAAGAAAAGGAAAGCTCTCTTCAACAAGGACAAGTTGTGTATGGCAGATCAGCTAGAACTTCATGCACATTAAAAGCCACAGACTGATCCAGTCAGCACTTTAGTGCCCATTATTTCTTCAAAGTTGTCTGATATTTTCAAAACACAGAGCACTTGACCATCAATGAATTTGAGATATTACTGCAGTTAGTGTTGAATATTAAATAGTTGAATATATTTGAATTATATAGTGAATTGTATATGAATTGTATTATATATCTGAATACCAGATAGTGTAATATTGGTTGTAAACCAGTGTTGAGTACCAAATAATTCCCATACTAAAACCTATTTTAAAGCCATCTATTCCTAATCTTTCTATAGCTCTTGACTGGACTTTTTGTAGCTGTACCATTGTTACTGCAGTATGAAGAATTTCATAGTTGTTGGTTATCGTTAGTTTATGATGCATCCCATCAAGAAGCTTCTTCTAAAAATAAAGGTGTGGAAACTATATTCAGGATGTGATGATCACAGACAAAGTAAGAGCGATTGATATTTATCAGTTTGGGGAGTAAGTATGCTTCTTGCTATTATTCCCTGATGAATTACAGTAACAGATCAGCTCCTTAGTCTTGCAGTGCAAGATGACCAACTTCCTTGTCAGTCAGTGCCTTTTAATAGTAACCACCTTCTATTTTCTACCTCAAAATGCTAATGCACTTCAAAGTGTCAAATACAGAAGTAATAGTGTTATCTCATGGAAGGTTAGGTTACACTTAATTGTTTTTTAAAACAGTTTCCTCTTATCTAGGGTCAATGTTACTTGGAAAAGTGAGTATTCAAGATTAATGTGTTTTACTTTGTATGTATAGTTAGAAAGTATATTTCATATCCGCCAGCCTGATTGCCCAGTCCTAGTTATAAAAGAAACCATACTGGATGTGGGAAGGAATGCATTACTGTCCTGGTTTAAGCTAAACAGAACCAATTCTGTGTTCAGTGGTTTTGCTTTTCAGCTCAGTCTCTTCTAAGAGGCTGCACTACCTGAAGTTAACAGCATGTTTTTGGCGGACAGTGCCTGCTACTGGAAGTGATAACACTCGGTGTTTATAGTTACTGCTGCGTATTGGTGTGCAGAAAGGCTTTTACTGATACTTGTGATACTATACTGTAGTGACCAAGGTCACTGCTGGATCTTGTATGCCACGTTTGGGGTGCTGAGGGGGTTAAAGAGTCGCAAGGAAGTGAAAGGTTGCACCTCTGGCAAGTAACGGACAGGACAGGTGACCAGCAACAGTATTCCATTCCATATTTGTCATATTCTCTATAAAACTGAGGGATCACTTCTTCAGTGGCTGACATCTGAGGAGGATTCTGTCCGTTCTTCTACCTTTGACCCCAATCCTGATTTCCCGAATCCAGCTCCCCCTCTGCTTCTGAGCCAAGGGCTTCCCTGTGCTAGCCTACTCTGCAGCATCAGTGGGGATTGCTATTGAGGAAGAGTCAGGTTTGATATTGCTTTTGTATATATTTAATTATTTTTGTTATTCCCTTATAATTACTATTATTGTTTTATTAAAGCTCTCTTAGTGGTTTGTTTTGTTGTTTTTTTTTTCTTCCGATTTGTTTCTCTGCCTTATTTCCTTTCCCTTCCTGTTTGGGGAGGGAGAGGGGCTAGAGAGCTTCTGTCAGTGTTTAGTGGCCAGCCCAGCCCTAACCCTCATCAATTACTAAACCAGCGTCAGTCTGTAATGTGACAGCTACATGGTACTAAATACCATCTTCTAGAGTAAACTGTCTCTGTACTCTCTTTCTTCCTACCTGCTAGTGGTTGCAGAATCCAAGAGGAAATGAAAGACTGACATGCTGGGAAATACACCATCTGGATTTACTCTGTAGAAAATTGTACTCTCCTGTGTGAGTCTATGAACAGAAGTAGTGAACTAGAAATCTTTGTCAAATGGCCAAATCACTTGAACTAGCATCAAATCTTGAAACTTGATGACAGATTTCCCTGTGAAAGCAAGGGAAATCCTCAAATTGTTTGTGTCTGAGGCTCCGCTGGTGATCAGAACATCTCTCTAGGCAGCTTTAGACAAATTTAAAA